TCCCATCCCATCCCACTGATCCCATCCCATCCTATCCCACTGATCCCATCCCATCCCATCCCACTGATCCCATCCCATCCCACTGATCCCATCCCATCCCATCCCATCTCCCCAGTCCCATCCCTGCGGGGGCACAGCCCTGGCACACCTTGCGGGGGAAAGCAGGAGCACAGGGAAAGGCAGGAAACCCTTTGGTTTGTGGGAAAAGGGAGGTTGTGGGTTTGTGGGTTTGTGGAAGAAGGGAGAGGACAAGTGGGATGGGTCACCTGGGCTTGGCGGGGACAGGGATGTGACAGCAGGTAGGGACCTCCAATTAAGTGTCCCATGTCCAGGCCCCTCTTGGGCTGTCCCAGGGATCCACAACCCCTGTCCAGAGCTGATCCGTTGGGAGGGGACACCAGGAGTAGCTCTGCAATGGAGGGAGGTCCCTCCTGGGGTTTGTACATCCCAGTGCAGCTCCTGGCAGAGGGAGACCTGACTCTGGCTGTGGGAGACCCCACGCTGTCCCTATGGAGATGGCTGTGGATCACCAGGTGAATTTATTCCCAGGAGTGGACTGAGCAGGATTGGGATAGAGCCATGTCTGTGGAGTGTCTGTGACCTGTGACCATGTGGGCACACACAGAGCACACGTGTGACCACAGAGGGACATTCCTGTGTCCTCACAGTGTCCCTGTGTTCTCAGAGCTCTGCTCAGCCTCACCTTTGGAGCACCTGCTCTCCCCAGCCTGGATCCCACAGGATGCTCCTTGCCTGAGCTCTTTTCCCTCTTCTTCTCCCCACCATCTTCAGCATCTCCATCCCCACATGGCTCAGCCCCATTCCATGGAGTGGCTCCAGAGAGTGAGGGGATTCACCAGGGTCACTCAGACCTTGGCGGGGATTCACCAGGGTCATTCAGAGCCTGGGGGGATTCACTGAGGTCGCTCAGAGCCTGGGGGATTCACCAGGGTCATTCAGACCTTGGGGGGATTCACCAGGGTCACTCAGACTTTGGGGGATTCACTGAGGTCATTCAGAGCCTGGGGGATTCACTTGGGGTTACTCAGATCCTGGGGGATTCACCAGGGTCACTCAGACCTTGGGGGAATTCACCAGGGTCACTTAGACCTTGGGGGATTCATTGGGGTCATTCAGAGCCTGGGGGGATTCACTGAGGTCACTCAGACCTTGGGGGATTCATTGGGGTCACTCGTTCCATCTCCCCAGGCTCCCAGCAAGGATTGGGGTGGCTGAGGGACTCTGGCACCCCCTGGTCCCTGTGGACCCCAAGTGCCACATCCCGATGGTGGCTCTGACCATGGGCTGCCCCTCATACACCAGGTCCCAGGCTGGAACAACCCCTGGGCCTCGCTGGAGCTTGGGGTGGGGGTCTCTGGTGGGGAGAGGGAAAAATCTCCATGTCCTGAGCTCTGGCAGGGAAGAGCCTGGGGAATATTGGGCTGAGGGAACCCTGGAAGGAAAAAACACCGAGTGTGTGGCACCAGCTGTGAGGTTCCTTCCAACCCAGGCCATTCTTTGATTCCAAGATCCCAGCTCCAAGGTGGCCACAGCCACCAGTGATTCTCCCTCTCCCTCATCCCGAGCATGGGATGTCCCAGCTCCATCCCACCACAGATCCAAGGATTCCTCAGTTGTCCACAGCCCTGTCTGTGTGCGGCACAGGCTGCACAAATGGCAGCAGCAAAGTTAAAACCACAAATCCCAGACGCAGCATCCCCGAGCAGCCTCGTTTGCCAGGCCTGGCTCTCCAGCTCAGCTCAGCTTGTGCTGTTCACCTGTTCCACAATTGCCTGGAAAAAGCTCCTGAGGAACATCCAGGAGCAGGATGAGGGAGCTGCAGGTAGGGGCTGACACAGAATTCAGAATGGAAACACTGTATTGACAGACTTTACAAAAGTTATTACAAAACACAGTCACGAACCAGCAGCTGACGATACAGAGCGAAGAGACACCACGTACAGCCACCTCAGAACAACACCAACAGCTCCAGAAGTCATCCAATATTTACACAAACAGCTGGAAAACTCCGGGCAGTTATCGCATACATGGAAGTGTTTTAGAGCAACTGTGAAATATAGTGTCACACCTTTCTTTGTAGTATTATCATCATCATAATTAATAATAATAATAATAATTAATAATAATAACAGACTACTTCTAGGTTAACTAAAAACCAAACAGCTCTTTACAGGGGTTAGGAGAAGCTGCTTTCACTCGTCTGACTTACCTGAGTGAGACCAAACCCAGTTAAAAAATAATAATAAAGTCACCTTCATTGTCAGGAGTCCGTGTGTCGGCCCAGCGGCGCCGTTCCCTCGGGCCAGAGGGGAACCAGAGCCCGGCTGGTGCCAGTGACACCCTTCAAAAGAACGGAGACGTGTCCTCCTGCTGTGAGTGACCCCAGCACGCCTCCAAACGCTGCCCTTCCCGTCTCCTCCTGCTCCAATGTCCTCAGCCCTTTCTCCTGCACCTGCTTTATCTCACCCCGCTCTTTGCCACGCTCTCCTCTCCGCTTTTCCGCCTTCCACAAATCCCGCGTCGTGCCCTGACCACCTCTCTGCCTCGCCTTTCTCGTCTTCATCCCAGTCCTGGCCTCGCAGCCTTTTCGGGACACGGCGACGCAGCGGGAGCGGGCGGCCGGCTGGGAACGGCGCCTTCCTTCCCTCCCTCCCTCCTCGCGCTTCCAGCCTTGCAGTGAAACGAGTGGAAAAAAGAAAGCGAAAGCTTGTCACTCCTGAATATGCACAAAGATAGGTGGGGGAACACCTGCTAAATACGGACCCCAGAGAATGGCTCGGGATTATTCTCTACGGGCAGAATCCAACCCTGCGTAGGGAACAGCGAGCACGGGGCCTGCGCCGCGGTGGAAGTGCCACGGAACCCCGCGGGGTCCCAGAGCTGCCTGGGCCGGCCGAGCAGAGTCTTTAAGAGGAATTCCTTGGATGCTTCACCAAAGCGGGCTTCGTAGCATGACCACATGGATTAGCTGCGATACAAGTCACCTGCCATCATGCTGCACGTCCACCTGCCAGACCGTCACGGTCACCGCGAGCCCTCCTGCCCCGGCCCCACCACGGCTACTGCTTAGTCTCTTTTTTCACGCAGAAATGGTCGGTTTGGGTGCCCGCCGAGCCCAGGTTGTGCTGGGAATCCTCGCCGGGCCGCGGGTTGCGGGAGTGGATTTTCTGGTGGCAATTCAGGGACTCTTTGTAGCGGAAATGCTTCCCGCAGACGGGGCACTGGTAGGGGGTCTCCCCGGTGTGCACCCGCCAGTGCTTGAGCAGGTGGTCCCGCCGGATGAAGCTCTTCCCGCACTCGGTGCACTGGTAGGGCCTCTCCCCGGTGTGGATGCGCTGGTGGCGGATGGCTTTGGAGAGGTCTCGGAAGTCCTTCCCGCAGTAGGTGCACGTCAGCGGCCCGTCGCCCTTCCCCGTGTGCAGCTTCTGGTGCAGGATCAGACTCACTTCCAGGCTGAAGCTCTCCTTGCACTGGGAGCAGGTGTAGGGCCTCTCCACCATGTTGTTCACCTGGTGCCTGACGAAGCCGTACTTGAATCCCGAGCTCTTCTCTCCGTCGGGGCGCTTGGAAGCTTTGGAGCGGGAGGTACCCTGGCCCTTGGCTTTGGATTTCTGCCGGAAGCTCTCGCCGCGCTCCAGGGACGTGCAGGCCTCCTCGCTGGCGTGCGCCTTCTGGTGGGTGGCGAAGAGCTGCTTGTCCAGGAAGCTCTCCCCACACTCGCAGCAGATGTAGGGCCCCTTGTCGGCCGCCGCCTCCTCGGGATCCTTCCTGGCCAAGTCTCTCCCGCGGCGCACCGAGCGCCTCAGCCCGTTCCCCGTGGCCGTTCGCTGCGGCGGGGCCGGCCCGCTCTGGCTCTTGCTGCTCGACTGCATCTCTTCCTCCGGGCTGGAGAAAACCTCTTCCCACTTTCCTGTCAAGGACCTGGAAAGCTCCAGGCTCTCGGAGCCCTCCTCATCGCACGGCTGTTCGTCTGGCAGAGCAGAGACACTCGTGTCATTTGGGGAAGCAAGACTGGGCTGTTATTTACACAGGTCCCTTGGGACACGGGGTGGTTTCTGCTGCACACACCCAGCTCAGAGCTTGGCACTGATGGGGCTGTGAGTTCAGCTGGGAGCACCTGCTCTGTCCTGGGATACAGGTGAGGCCAGAGGGATTTGACTTGTAATCTCAGAATTGTTGAGGTTGGAAAAGGCCTCGGTACTCATTGAGTTCAACCATCCCCCAGCACTGCCAAGGTCACCCCTGACCACGTGCCCAAGTGCCACATCCACATGGATGTTACATCCCTCCAGGGATGAGGACTCCACCAGTGCCCTGGGCAGTCCCAATGTGTAACAGCCCCTTTTGGGGAAGAAATTTTCCTGATTTTCATCCTGAGCCACCCCTGGCACAACCTGGATCCATCCCCTCTCCTCCTATCCCTGCTCCCTGGGAGCAGAGCCCGACCCCTCCTGTCAGGGAGCTGTGCAGGGCCAGCAATTCCCCCTGAGCCTCCTTTTCTGCAGGCTGAGCCCCTTTCCCATCTCCCTCAGCTGATCCTCGTGTTCCAGACCCTTCCCCAGCTCCACTTCCTTCTCTGGACACACTCCAGCAACTTCCTGCCTTCAATTATACTATAATGTAATATTATATGTATAAAATCTAGCCAGAGGAAAAAAGAGGGTTCCTGAAGTAGGACAGGTCTTTAAAAACTTGTGGTTTAGGATAAAGGTCAAAAAAAACAGGAAAAGGGAATAAAACTTCTTTTCCTCATGGGCTTGTACAGTGCCTGAGGCTGAAGGATGTCCCATGGTATAAACTGTGACTCAAGGCAACTTCCTGAAATTCTGGAAAAAGCACCATCCAGAAAAGCTGAGCTGCTCCTGGGAATGAGGCTGGGAAACCAAAAGCACATCTAAGCAAGGGACATTTCCCAAAGCAGCTCAGTGCACTCACATGTACCAGGGACCTCCATGCCCTCCTCTTCCTCAGAGCCTTCGTGGCTTTCAGCCAGAGTCTCTTCATATTTACCCCACGAGCTGTCATCAGGCCCAGGGAAGAAAAACTCTGTGCAAGAGAAAAGAGCAAGAGTTACACTCCAACCTTCCAGCTGCTTTCGAGGATTCCAGGAGGGATGGACACACCAGGTGGGAGACAAGCGGGAAAGCAAAGTCTCCCTGTACGTGAAGAGAGAGCTGACAAAACAGAACAGCCCCACATCTGCCTCCCCCCGAGTCGCAGGAACCTTGTGGCTCACCAGTGCTGGGGTCCGTGGGTGTCTCTCCTCCCTCGGAGTCCTCCTGATCCTCAGCGTTGGGATCCTCCCCCTGCTCAATCCGTGTCAGCAGCTCAGGCTTGGAAATGGCAGCGTCTGCACGTAAAAAGAGGATGAGGATGTTTCCCCTGCCCTGGCGGGAGAGCGACTCTGCAGCCTTTGCCCACCGACCTTCCTTTGCTGGGAAATGAACGAGAGAGGCTCAGGAAGCTGCTCTCAGCCCTCTGCCCCACTCACCTTGCGTGGGCCCTGGATGCAGGAGCACGCTCTGCTCAGGTGAGGAGCACCTCCCAGCCTGCAGCGTGAGGAGCACAGTAAGAAAAGGCACCCAGGCTTACCTGCAGGCTCTCCTGTCTTCTCCTCTCCGCTAAGGTCCGCGGATCCATTACAATGGGGACTTCAGCTCGGGGGCAGCACCAGAGCTGCCAGCACTGCCCTCCCCGTGCGGTTCCCTCCAGCCAGGACCGCTCCGTCCTACTCGTCCGTGTCACGGGCTGCTCGTGGATTTTGGTGGGGGAAAGGGGACAATCACCATCTCTCCTCAGGTGGAGAGCAGAAAATTTCACTTCCAGAAATGTGGGAGGCCCTGGGGGTTAAATTCCACCTCTGGCTCCGGTGGATCTGTTTGTCTTACACAGGAACCAAGCCCTAAACCTCGTTTCTGAAGGGAAACCTTGGGATGAAGCACAGATACATTTCTCCAAACCCCAGGCTCAGATCCCCAGATCTCCTGCAGCAGGACAGCTGCGTTCCCACGCCTCAGGAGCGGGGATGAGTTTGGAAACAGGAGAATGGAGGCCATGGTTACCCTTCACCTTTCTCCCTGACATACAGGGACTGCAGGAAACCTCAGTTCAAAGAAATAAACGGGGAAAAACAAAGCAGAAAAGGCTTGGATTGGGCAGAGCTGGATGGCAGGGAGGCAGATGAGCCTGGACTCGGCACAGGGAAGCGTCTGGCTACCAGGGACGGTGTCTGCGCTCCCACCCCCGGTCCAGCCAAGGCAAGGTCATTTCTGGAACATGTTGTGAAGGCAACGTGTTCCCCAGAGAGCATTCCCGTGGCCAGGACTGGCAGGAGCGAGCGGAACGCGTTCCTTTGGCTGGGAATGCACTGCCCTGAGCTGCTGAGGGGAAAGCAGGAGGCAGAGCTCGCCCTCAGCTGCTGCTTCTCCCCAGCTCTGCCCCAGCAGATCCCGCAGCACCCGAGCAGGACTCGATCCCTGGGGTTGGACAGAGCATCCAGGCAAACGTCACTTCTCCCTCATGGGAGAGGAAAGGGAAGTCTGCACAACTCCCCATGGAAAGGGCTGGAAGGAACCTCAGAGGCAGGGCACAGGGCACCCTCTGCTGCTCTCAGCAGCCAGCGGGCTGAGGCACCCAGCGCAGTGGATCTGTGGACCTTGGCGTGACAAAGGAGCTTCCCTCTTCCCCAGCTTTGCTTGGAATGAGGGTCCTCTCACTTCCCCTCCTCCTCCTCACAATCCCAGCACTCGTCAGGCTGCAGGGAGCATCAGGGAGCCACCGTCCCTGCGGTGACACTCATGACATCCTTCCACCCTCAGCGTGGCTGTGAGATCTGAGCTCACTGCCAGGGCTGTGTTACACCTCTCCAAAGCTCACCACCCCCTCCCCGATCCTGCAGGAGCCAGCGCTGCTTCCATCCACCAGATCCCAGGAAAACTGTGCCAGGAGGCTGAGGGCAACCCCTGGCCCATCGTTACCCATGGAGATGACGGCCTCATAGTTGCCCTTCATGATGTGCCTGTAGAGCTCCTTCTGCCACTCGTTGAGGCTCTTCCACTCCTCCTCAGAGAAGTTAAACGAGGCGTCGTTGAAGGCCACGGGGACCTGCAAGGAGCAGCACCACGGGGTTTGTTTCACATTTAAGAAAACACCTGGGGATGTTTTCTCATTCAATTTTCTTGCTCAAATTCCTCAAGTGTCGTGCAGGACAGTCCCAGGCAGGAACATCTGCCCCTTTCCATGTGTCTCATCCCTCAAGGGATGTGACAGGGATTTACCCTGTCACCCGTCTGTCACCTCCCCCTGCTCAGCCTCCTCCTGTCACAGGCTATGCTCCCTGCACAGACTCCTTTTCACCTTCTTTTTGACACAATTCTGCTGCTCATCACCTCTGAACAGCCACTGGGGATGTTCCTAAACCTTCCCAGTCACATGGGGCTGAGCCACAAAATTCCACGTGATCCAAACACAGGAATTTGTGACATCCCTCCCAGACCACACGTGCACGAGCATAATCAACACAGCAAGACCTGTGCTGGTGCTTCTGGGTGCTGAAGGGAAGACAGTGATGGGGAGGAGCCATGAACTGCTCTCAGCACTGCACTGCCCCAAAATGGAGCTGTGAGTGTAGGGATCAGGCTGTGAGTGCAGGGATGGGGCTGTGAGTGCAGGGATGGGGCTGTGAGTGCAGGGATGGGGCTGTGAGTGCAGGGATCAGGCTGTCAGTTCAGGGATGGGGCTGTGGGTGCCCAGGAAATGCAACAGTGAGTGCACAGGAGATGAGGCTGCCAGAGCAGGATATGGGGCTGTCGGAGCAGGATATGGGGCTGTCAGAGCAGGATATGGGGCTGTCAGAGCAGGGATGGGGCTGTGAGTGCAGGGTATGGGGCTGTCAGAGCAGGATATGGGGCTGTCAGAGCAGGGATGGGGCTGTGAGTGCAGGATATGGGCCTGTCACAGCAGGATATGGGGCTGTCAGAGCAGGGATAGGGCTGTCAGAGCAGGATATGGGGCTGTCAGAGCAGGGATAGGGCTGTCAGAGCAGGATATGGGACTGTCAGAGCAGGGATAGGGCTGTCAGTGCACAGGAGATGGGGCTGTACAGGGCATGGGGCTGTGAGTTCATGATATTGTGAGTTCATATCCTGTGAGCACAGGATATGGGGCTGTGAGCACAGGGCACAGGGTTCTGAGCCCAGCATTTGTGCAGAACAGCCCCATTTTGCAGAGGGGAGCAGCAAACCGTTACCTTGGGGACTTCCCCTTTTGCTCCCGGGGGCAGCCGCAGGATCCAGAAGTTCCTGTTCTTCAGGAGGTTCTCCATGTTCTCCAGGCGCTTCTGCAGCTGCCCGTACTCCTGGATGAGGGTGCCCAGCGCCGTCCACTTGCTCTCCAGCTGGTTCCCGAATTCCACCGCCGTCTTCTCGCAGCCGATCAGCTTCGTCTCCGCCATCCTCATCCTGCCCTCCAGGTTCATCAGCTGGGCTGCCTGGGTGTCCACCTTCCTGTCCACGGCCTGGATCTCGGTGACCAGCGTGAGGGAGATCTCGGCGGCCGGCAGCTCGGCCTCGCCGCCGGGGCCCTGCTCGGGGGCGGGCAGCGGCTGTTCCAGGCCCAGCTCCTGGGGCTCCATCA